AGGCGAGTCTGCAACGGGTTTTAAAGGCAGCGGAGAAGGAAGGGGAGCCCCCTCCTCCTTCTTGGGGCCAGGGGAAGAAGGGCTGTGCTGATGCAGCAAGCGAATGCGAATATGGGCTGCCTGCTCTCTGCTGAAAGCTGCGGGAATTTGCGTTTGGGGTGAAGCGCGCAAATCCTCTCGCTGCTGGTGGGCGGCTCAGCCAGGCCAGATTCACCAGGAGGAAGGTCTGCAGCCCCTGCGCCTTCCTTCTCCTGGAGGCTGGTGCAGCTGGAGCGCGTGTGGCCGCGGGAGGGCCTGGCATGAGGGAGAGCGTCTGCCTCCGTTCGGTTCTGTGTCACAGAACGCGCTGGCGGCCCGGTGGCGACGTGACGGGCGTTTCCTCCGCCTTCCCCTGATGTCGCTCCCATAAGTGAATGTTGTTATTTCTGTTTACAGGCCGTACTGGATTCTCAGGAGATAAACTACTACATAATTTTTGAAGATGGCCGGTAAGAGCCACATAATAATGAAGATGGTTTTGACTTAGGTCCTAGACGTGCTAGTGCCTGGAATGGCCTTAGAGTTTAGCTGGAATATTAAGGTGCAGGTTTTTTCAAAGCACTGGAATTACTCATGTGGCTAATGCTTTTGGAAACTCAGTGGACCTCAGTAGACTTCAGGGACACCATGTCTGAGAGTCCTCAACTCCACTGAAATTAAACAGCTTGCAGAACTGCTCATTTCACTTCCTTGAGGGGGTTCCGTCTCCAACCACTGAATTACTTAATCAACTGAGAGAGAACAGGAACTGCAAAGATATAGCAGTTTTTGATATTCCAGAAAAAAAATATTGAGCAAGAGAGCAGTAATTTATCTAAACTTGTTGTTTAAATACTTTAAATAAACTACTGTGGCATGCAACCATTAATTGTTAAATTCGTGATAGCACCTGACTGCAAATTGTAATCGTCTTTTGGCAAAGCTGTTGTTTCATGGAGGACACTCAATGCACACTGAAGAAATAACTGCTGCTTATAACCCATGTATGAAAGTAAGGTATTGTTCTTCAAATTCTCAGCCCAGATCCTGTCAACTACCTCTGATACCTCAAAGATGGTGATCTGGGGCAGACAAACCTGGTGTCCATTGCAGAAATAGAATTCAGAGCAGTATTTGTGTTGGCTCTTAGGAACCAAGGTCTGAATGTTCTGCAGATCCTGTTATTTTAAATAGTTCCTTGGAATTACCTTCTCTGCAGAATTTTATGTATAAACTACCGTTATCCCTCTACAGTATTTCACTTCCCCTTCTCTTCAGTGAGAAATAATTTTTTAGAGAATTATTAAAATTGAATGGTAATTCCATTTTAGTAGTCTGCCCATATCCAAGAAGATTATGAGTAAGTAAGCTCTGATATACCTTACTGCATATATTTAAAAAGCTACATCCCTGCCCATCCTCTAGTCCCCCATTTTAGCTTAAATGCATTTTTATCATCAGTCTAAGATACACCAGACAGCTCACTGACGCACCTACAAAGAAGTCATGTTGATTTCAGTTGAAGCCACTGTGAGGATGCTAGAGTGGGAGAGAAAATGACTTTTACCCTGATGTTATCATTTGCTCTGCACTTAAATGGAAGAACCCACAGTGTAGGTGGGGGATTCTCTGCGCTCTCAGAAGTTGATTGCATAATGGTTGGAGGACTCCAAATTGGCCTGTTTTGGTCACATCCCGTCCCTCCCACTAATACAGCACTAGTTTGACAAGGGAGGCGGGTTCGGGAGCCAAGTCAGCAGAAATTTCTCCTGTCTTGGGTAAGGGGTTTTTGAAGGGAGATGGAATCAAATGAGCACAAATGCTGCCTGAAAAACAAGCTGGCTCAAAAGAGGAGCGGGGCATGGCCGGGGTTGTGCATGGTGCAGTAGGGGAGTGCAGCCTGCTATGGAAACACATTTATAGCCCACTGAAGTCCACCTGAAACACCCAGGGTATCACAAGATTTTTGCAGGTTGGAATTTACAGATGAGTTCCTCAGGTGTCACTTGCTCTACCAAGGAGTCAAACGCACTTTTTCTTTTTTTTTCTTTTAATCAATTTCGTGATGCATGGAGAAAACAGCACAAAAACATGAACAACCAAGTCCTGACTTCAAAAATTGCTGCACACTGGGCTACCTCTAAGGTGTCTTCTGCTTTTCACTCTGCTTCCAGGGAAGAAAGTCCTAATAGTCTATGCACATCAAGAGCCTAAGTCTTTGAATGGGTCTTTGAAGAGAGTCGCGGTGGAAGAACTGAGCAAACAGGGCTGCAGCGTCACAGTGTCTGATCTCTATGCAATGCAGTTTGAGCCAAGAGCGACGAGAAACGACATTGCTGGTGAGACTAGCCAAAATGCATTTTTTTCCAACAATAAGAATGAGACAATCTTTCTTCTCATCTATCCTGCATGAGCAATTTAAAAGCATGCCATGAGGTACCCTCTGAAAAAATAGTCATCATTTCTTTATGCGGTTTACTCTTGACAAACAAGACCCGTGTTTTTATTTTCAGCAAGCACTGACTAAGCAATGTCAACGTAGGAATGCATTATTCTGGCTTAAATAAATCCAGTTAGTAGAAATGGTTCCTCAACAAACATCATGTGAAATATCTATATTTGTAAAACAGCATTTTGCCTTTAGACCAAAGCGAATGAAGGATAACATTGTTTTTGTAATATTTGCAATCAAATGAAGAGGCATTCTAAAAACTACCTTCTCTTAAAGAACAGTATTACAAATGCATTCTGCACATTCAGCTTGGGCTTTTGAGCTGGTTTGGCATCTGCCTGTGTGGATAGTATATGATTACTAAAAATGGTGCAGATAAGCTTGAGACACATGGTGGTGCTGTTATTAAGCTTACATGATATTTGCATGATTAAGCATGCCTGCTGTGCTCTTAATAGCATTTACATTCAGTATTTTTCAAGTTTAGAAAGCACAAAGCCATAATATAACCTAATACAGCTGGCCCCTTCTCCTTGAAATGAGAATCGGAAAGAAAGAGCACATGTCTGTGTCAGCACTACCTAAAAGCAGAAGAACCCTACTGCCAGCCAGACTTAAGCTTTTCTGTGTGTCCACCCCTCGATACGACCTTTGGCTCACAGTGACACTTCTGGGAGGGAAGAATGCATTTGCCCACATGTGTTCAGCATCAGTCCCTGAAGTCCACTGCTCTTAGGCGCTTGCGATGCCTTCACGTACCCTACTGTGCTGTATTAGAGTTCAATTCACATGTTTACTACTTCTACCTGTCTTCCTTGTCCTTCTGCTGGAGGCTAATGATTGACTAGTGGAAGCAGCAGGAAAGAGCACATATGTGTGACTCAGACATATGGGAATCCCTTTAACCAACTGTGAGTAGAATCTGCCAAACCAGCTGATACTTCTTCTCCAGCACCTGCGGAGTTTCCCAGTTACCTGCATAATTCTTGTGACCCTGCAGTGATTTCAGTAATCCCTATTGCAGAGGCAGAGCAATTAGCAAGAGGTGGTGACATCTTAAATCACCTACCTGCATCACCAGAGGGTAAAGCCAAGCTTAGGCCTTCCCTACTGCACTTACATGCTGCTACAGAAAAGTCAAAACTCTATTACTCTTAGATCCTACCTTCCTGTCCAGTTAAAATCAAATTACAGTCTGTCAGCTATGATGATACTGAATATTCATGAAAAGGAAAGGAAAATGGGAAAAATAGAAAGCAGTAACTCAATTTAGAAATGTAGTGTGCAGTCTGTATTTAATTCCTGTTGGCTGCAGCGCTGCAAACAGAGTTAGCAATGACTACTCACTCCCACCCACAGGTTGCTTACACAACTCGGAAGAGTTCCACTATGGTGTTGAAGTACGGGAAGCTTACAAGAGAGGAGATTTGTCCAGTGATGTGATTGAAGAGCAAAAGAAGGTGCAGGAAGCAGACCTACTGATTTTCCAGGTCATTATTTAAAATTTTATTAAAATACTAGTTGTAATGTACAGGGTTAAGCAAAAGAGAAACAATAATAAGTGAGAAGGTTGGTGATTTCAATGGGAACATTGAATTTTGAAAGACTTAAAATATGAGTTAGTTCTGTCATCAACATAAAATGGTTTGCATGCAGTGTAGCAACTCCTAGGGGCCAGGATTTTCTGATGTGGTGTATATTTTAACATACAAAAAATACTAGATTATTGGTGAGTATTATTCATGCTAGCACATTGTGACCTTTTCACATAAATAATGGCTTCACACTAACAATTTTGGAAACAGGAAGGCATCTACAATTAGGTCCCTAGAAGGCGCTGTGGGGTCAGCAGTGCTGATCAGCATGAATCATTCCCAGAGTTGTGCACGGGCAGTCAGTAGCAAAGCTGACATGGGCATTATAGTGGCCTCTGGAGTGTTCGTGTTCAGGAGGTCACGTGCGGTACAAATGAAAATATTCCATCAAAATTCACAGCAAAGCTTTTGGCCTTAGGCATAGCCTGTATGTATTCCATTCTAGATGAAATTTAGGATAATAAATACTTCACTGTGAGACCTCATCACTTTCGCAATAGGCTTCTGAGTTTAAGAGAAGTGTAGTAAAATGTCCCCTGGAGGAAGTGGTTGCTTCCTATTTTCTATTTTCAAAATGGTATGAAGAGTTGAGTATGTCTTGGCACAGAAAACAAACACAGAAACAAAAATGCTGAAACGCACTGTGCAGTAATTTAAAATAAACTACAGACTAAACTGACCACTTCTACAGCTAATAATGATTGCCCACTTTGAATTAAGCCATATGCACATTAAGTTACAGAATGACTTATGATGTGATGTGTGCGAAGGTTTAGGAATAGCATCCTTGAATAGCAGTCCACAAAGCATTTATGAGAGTGTAAATAAGGCATGATGATTTTAAGTTATGTGCTAAATAGAGGTTCGAGGAATACAGAGGCCTCCTGCTAGAGAGGAAGTTTTCCTCCCAGTAAAGCAGTAGTGAATCTGGATCACTCTGTCAGTAGGGTATTAAAGAATGTATCTCGTTCATAAGAGTCCATGACATTTTTTGGAAAACTATCATATTAGAAATGATCACAAGATGTCAGTGCTGGTCGTAGGGCTCTGTGTGTGTGTTCTGGCAGTATTTTCCATTTGGCAGTATGTTGTAACTGCATTTCAGCAATAGGTGACACTGTTCTGCACAGATTTAAGTTTGAAGCAAATGGCAAGTTCCTGCTGCATCGCATTACAACCTTAATTTGTTGATTAAGCTCTCACATTCACCATGCTATTCAAAAAAAACTACAAATGCACAGGTTAAGTACTTGAGACTACTAAATACAAAAATCATCTGAATTAATTTTGCCAAGCGTAGTTAACTGTCTTTTGACAGAGGACTGGAAGAAAACATTTGCAAGATCTGAACAGATAAAGAGAATAGTATGTTGTTTGTAGACCAGGCTTAAGGATGTCTCAGATTCTATATTAACAGGTAATCTACTTTTTGCCTAGTTTCCCTTGTATTGGTTCAGCATGCCAGCAATTATGAAGGGCTGGATGGACAGAGTCTTGATCGAAGGATTTGCTCACCAGTTTCCAGATTGTTACAGTTCTGGTTACCTCAAGGTATGTTTTCAGATTTGTTTTATTACGATCAAGATTTGTGCAGTGATCTTTAGGTCTTTCCCTTCCACTGTGTTTGCATAAAACTCGCACTTCAGATTGTCCTGAAAATAGATCACAGCTTTTCCTGTGGAGGAACAACTTATTTTCTAAAGGCTCTGGCTTGTTCAGGTGCTCTCTGAATTTAGACTTACATTACCTAAAGTCTTTGAGTTGAACTGCTTAGCAATCAAAGTGTAAACCATATCTCAGCAGCACTCAGGAATTGCTTTAGCAGTAAGGCAGATACTGAAACTCTCTTCTAGTCCATCATTAGACCACCTTTCCTTAGCTTTCTCCAAAATACCTTCCAAACATCCATCTTTTGCAATATGTTCCAAGAGCTAATGATCTAATGATGGGGATTGCAGCTGAAGTAGATTAGAAGATAGTGGATTACCCATGGCCAAACACACCAGTACAGACTAGTGGGGCTGTAGGAGATCGACATCTTTAACTTTATTCTTACAAACAAGCACATAGTGCACAGCCTTCCATGCACTAAGGTATTCTAGAGTATCTGGAAGATTAAACAGAGAATCTACAGAAGCTTCAGCTTTAAAATAAGCATATTTTAGGAAAGTATGGGGGAAATGTTCGACCTACATATTGGCAACAGACTTTTCTTTTTGATTATTCTACAAAAATTAAGAAATGCCACAGGCCCAGGTCAACCTTAGAGCTTCTGTAAAAAATATTTTAAGAGACAAAACATTCTGGCATACTTAAAAAGCAAGACACAATAATTGAAGGTGAGATAGAAACTTTGTGCCCACTCAAGTCTGGAAAAAAAAAAGAAAAGCTTTATGTATTTATATATATACATATATATATATACACACATGCGTGTGTGTGTGTGTATATATATATATAAAATCCTGTATGTTAATCTTTGAGGTAGCTTTTGTTTAAGCTGTTGTGTAGGACAGGAGCATGCAGGCAAATAAATAGGGTAGCTCAGCTGTCTGTTAACTGGAAACCCACCATAGTTTGATCATATTGTCATTTCTGCAGCTGTCAATAATAATGCTTTGGTAGCATATTAAGTAACCTTATGGTTTCTTAAAACTGCCTGAAAGGTAAGGAGTACAATGAGGAAAATGCAGTGGTTCCTGAACTTTTAAACAATCTGCTTGAGATTTTTAGGTGGCCTAAAGAATGAGCTTTATAATTTGGTAGGTATATTACAGTGCATTGTGGTGGCATACAATCCAGTTGTTTGTTCCAAATATTTCAGTTTGTTTGAATTTCAGAGAAGACTGCCTCACTGAGGTGAACAGGAGTATTCCCCAAGCTTTGTAGTTGCGGGCTGGCAACTCAAGGCAATGAATCACAGAACGGCAGAGGCTGGAAGGGCCTTTCGAGATCACCTTATCACTTTGCTAAGGCTGAGTCACCTGGAACATGTTGCATAGGGTCACATCCAGGCGAGTTCTGGATATCTGTAGAGAAGGAAAGTTCACAGCCTCTCTGGGCAGCCTGTGCCAGTGCTCGGTCACCCTTACGGTAAAAAAGGCTTTCCTGTGTCCAGGTGGAACTTCTTGTGTCTCAGTTTGTGCCCGTTGCCTCTTGTCCTGTTGCTGGGCACCGCTGAAAAAAGCCTGGCCCCATCCTCTTGACATCCTCCCTTTGGATATTTATACACACTGATAAGATCCCCCTGAGGGTGCACTTTGTCCCTTCGCCCAGGTCTGTGTTTTGAACTGTAGAAGCTAAAATCAAGAGGAGAGATGCTGAGCGCAAGCCTATGGGTTACAGAATCAGAAGAAACATGGGGCTTTTAAAATATCTGATGAAGCAAGTCTAAAGAACATAAATTGTACTGAACTTATTTCTTGACAGGTGACTAGCAAGTCTGTATTTGAAAAGGGATTACTGTAGCATTCATTTTCTGTGTTCAGGAAAGAGAAGAACAGAAATATATGCAGGTGCACAGCCCTTTCCAGACGTAGTCTGGAACAAACATCTCATAGGTGAAAGCAGGGTCAGTGCCACTTCATGTTCTGATATCAGTACCATGTGCTGGTACCCTGAATATCTCTTGAACTATGCAGTCATTCTTCCTTGAACATGCCTATCCTAAACACAGCTTTCTTAATTCCAGAATAAATTAGCCCTGTTCTCTTTCACCACTGGAGGAACCCAAGAGATGTATACAAAAGGAGGTATCAGTGGTGATATTCGCTATCTCCTATGGCCCATGCAGGTATAACATGAATGTTTTCTTGTTATCTGTCTTAATTTTTACTATGAAAATTATTTTTAACATTTTTGCTATTATTTAGGTTGTATAACGTATATAGAAATAGTTCAGTTGTCAGTTTGAAGCATCTGCAGTTTATAAGTTGGGCCCTAAAATCTTGAGACAACAGAGTTTTAAAACTGCCTAGTGCCTTCTCCTCAAGACAGGACTTGGAGAAAGCTCAGAAGTTGTCTGCTTTTGAGTTTCTCTGGTGTCACAGGGTTTCCTCTAGCATGTAAAGGCTTCCCAAGGAGACCCTCCAGCGGGGACAAGATGTCCCTTTCCAGAGATGAGGCACTTAGGGACATGGTTTAGTAGGCTTGGTGGTGGTTGTTTTATGATTGGACTTAATGATCTTAAAGGTATTTTCCAGCCATTGTGATTCTACGGTTTCGATGGAAATACTGTGTTCCCTGTTACTGCCTGACTCGAGGAATTTGGGGGGCATTCACACGGGATCCTGGTGCTAAGGATCAGCATGCAACAGTTAGCATGCCTTCTCCTGTTGCTACCCATTTGTCAGAGGTAGCAAACATGCTTTGAGAAGGTTCAGGCAGTAAGGCAAATTGTGCCAGCTCCTTCTTGCTGAAATCTAACCCATCTGTGCCCTTATGAGCACTGAGGCTGTCCAGCCACACTGCTTCGCAAGGCGACATGAACTGCAAGTTCAGCTGCAAACAGAGCTACAGTCCAGAAATAAACAGAGGGAAGACAGTGAGCTGAGCTGAGCTAAAAGGCTCTAATGGTCATGCAGAATAGGGTGGCTGAACTGGAGGCAAAAGGTTTAACAGTTTTAGAAGTAGGTGAGAAATGTAGAGTTCTGGAACAATCTGTGGAGATTCAAACAGTAGAATGAGGATTAGACTGCCTCTGATCCATGCAAATTTATAGCATGTGGAAGCTGAAGAGGACAATTCTGAGGGTTAGAAATCAATTCTGTAGAACAGAATAAGTGAAGTTACCCTTACTTTTCAGTGTATTGCATGTCATTCTACACAATGCCTAGCCTTCGATACTAACTCCCAAGATAGGTAATGAATTTCCGCAGTCCATTTTTCTCCCTTTTGCTGACAAATGTACAGTGTAGAAAATATGCTTTATATTGGGTTTTAGATCAGAATCTTCCATATTCTTGAATTGCAACTGAGAAAATAACTATTTTCTGAGTCATCTCTCTGTTTCCTTTGAGTCTAGCATGGCATCATGCACTACTGTGGTGTCAAAGTCCTTGCTCCTCACATCTGCTTTGCTCCAGAATCTGTCTCTGAGCAGGAGAGGAAGGAGATGCTGCTTGCTTGGGCCCAGCGTCTGAAGACTCTTTGGAAGGAGGAACCCATTGACTGCTCTCCTGAATGGTATTTCAAATAATATTCAGGCACAGCGCTATGGAATTAGAATTTTTCCGTTCTTTTTTTGTGCTTTATCTAAATATTTGAATGAATAACTAATCTCATGACTTGAGTGTATTACAGATACCTTCCTTGTGTTCTATAGCTAGGAGTTTAGCTGACAATATATCATCTGTCTTCAATGATGAGTGCATAACTCTTTGTGACAAATTACCCTAAAACATATGCACAGTGGCATCCTGTCTACTAGTGGCTGGTAATACAAGCAGTGTTTTCTTGCAGATTATATTGATTATGAAGCAGTAAAGTGCATTGCCAAATTTAATTGAACTTTTTGCACTAGCAGTGATTTTTTTTACTGTCCTGGAAATGTACTGCCCTGACTCAACATAGATGTGGCACAGGATATACATCTGCATAGTGACATAGACAACTGGAAACTTGTGGACAAGCCTTAATGCTCTTCCACACATTAAAAAATACATTAAAGCAATATTAAGGCTGTGACAAAGCTTTCTAAAATGAAGGAGATTTCCCTGTTTTTGTTAGTTGGAGTAGAGATAAAAGGGAATCACGTCTAATTCCTGCCCCTTCCTGTCAGTCCTGCCGTTGAGGCTTGGAGAGCCTCGTGCACTGGGCCTCCTCGGCGTAGCTGGGGACCTGCCCCCTCAGCATGTCCAGCGTTGCTGTCCGACGCGGCAGGCTGCCTCCCCCAAACCTGCAGGAGCCCCCTCTGCCCACAGACCACTCACCTAGCGGGACACAGCGGCTGCCTGGCTCTTACTGTCTGGGAATTCCAGCTTGAACCTCAGTGGAGTAATTTGGATGCCTGAGAATGGTTTTGCGTAAGGCAAAGGGTGGATTTCTTGCTTAGTTTTGCAGTTTCTTGCTCTGATCAAATCATGTCACAACTGGCTTTGCATTTTGGTATTAAAAGAATGCAGCTTGAATAAGAAACACCAGTCTTCTGAGTCACTTTCAAATCATACTTGGGCCTCTGCATGCAGAGCAAGTGCCTGCCGTGTGTTCCCTGTGACAGCCTTGCTATGTCCTCACCCTTACATGAGGACATATGTGGGATGTTATGTGGATGATAAACATCCCGAGCCCTGATTCTGGAGGGGCAGTGTAAGTGAGTATGTCAAACTGGGAATTGCAACAGCAGAGAAAGACACACACAGTCCTGTTTGTCACTGTAGTAAGTGAATGGCCACCTCCAGCAGGGACAACACAGACCCTGGAAGAACTGCTGTCCTAAGGGGTGGAGCTTTGTGCTGCAGTGTGACTCCGGCCTCAGACTGTGCAAACAAGCAATTGCCCTGGGTTCATAGCTCTTGTAGGTGAAAGTGTAGACAAAGAAAATGGAAAATGCTATACGGGGAGGGGGGGACACATTCCTGCCTAGAAGACTATAAGAAGAACAGCTTCAAGTTACCTGAAAAGTGAAATGGTGAATAATCAATGCCATCTATCTTTCTTATGGTACTTAATCACTTTCCACCACAAAAAAAGACTGTTTTCCAGGCTGTAAAGTCCTGTCTCAGCTCAGAGGCCATATTATTATACATTAACTCAGGACAATTTTTCCTTATGTATGTGCATACCTTTACCTACCTTGAATTTCACCTGTTCAGTCACTCAGCTATTATCCCAGAGCTCCTCATAGTCTGCCTTCCTTTCCCCACTCATCTCAGTAATCACATCTTCAGAAGGCCTTCTCAACCCCACTGCTCATCTCCTTTTCCAGAGCAGCACTGACCCTTGCAGAACTCCTCTTGTAACCTCCCCCTGTTCTGAGAACCAAGTGTGTATTTGCCTTTTTTGTCCTGTCTTAAAAATGTATCTGTGCCATGATCTTCCTTCTTACCTTTTGCCTGTTTAGTTTCCTTAAAAAAATATATGAAACTTTGTCAAAAGCCATTTGGAAATGCAAATAAACTGTAAGAGTCAGATCACCATTCTCCACAAGCCTTGACTACTCCAAAAGTAAATTCTTCAGGAATATATTTCAATCTGAAGCCACTATATAAGGGCATGTACTGGGGAGGGGATGAAGAACCATAATCCTCCACAGTCATCTCAGTCCTGGTCTCCTCGTGCAGAAACTCTTCCATGTGCCACATAATTCTTTTATTCAGCCCGCTTTTTGTATCCTGTCTAGCTGCACTGTATGTGTTCTGAGAAGAACTAACCAGAGCTGAAAGCTGCATTCAGGGCTGGGACACCTACCAGACTGAACTGTACAGGCTGAATATATGTAATAATTGGTTAGTATTTCCTCTGTGGTTAATAAGGAGAGAGAAAGGAAGTAGTAATAATAGTGTCTTGCCAACATTGGAAATACTAACAGCCTTTATAATCCAAAGAACAATTGCTCTGCAAAACCATTTTATACCAAGCGCCAAACGGAGTCCTGCCAAGACAACCATTCAGCAGAATAAAACTGGAATTTGGTAACCTGTATCAATGTTCTAAGCAGGGGAGAAGGGTACAAGACGAAGGCACTTTCCCGTTCCGGTTAGTCTGGCTTTTCATCCTTATGTGGGTGCTGGTTTTCCGCTCGCACATGCTTTCAGGCATCACTCTGGTCATCTTGCCCAAAGATGTTCCAAAAATCATAACTGTGTTCAATGTGTTTGATGAAATACTCTGAAGTGGCAGGTGGAGAATGCTTGCAGCTTCAGAAAAACACTAGTAAACACGTAGCACCCCATCTCATCCATGTTATCAAGAAGCCTTATAGTCTAGAGAAACCAAGATGAACGTTTTGCCTTAAGGCACTTTTAATCCAGGTATCAAATACTAAACATTTAAAGGCAGATGTAGATAGTCCCTTGTATGGTTCAGCACTGATTCCTGCAATGACCTCCTTGAAGTTAGCCACCTGCTTGCAGAGGAATGTACTGTGCAATACATGGATCATCAAAAAGTAGTGCTGAAGAAAAGAACAGCCAGGAATAAATATCATGCAAAATTCATATGCAAATTAAAAAATCCTATTATGTGAAAAATATTTTAAAGCCAAAAAATAAGCATAAAATAAGCACCGCTGTGTCAGACGTGCCCAACACCAAGGCCAGACTTCAGCGGATCATCTTCTGCCCTCAGCTCCACGGCGAAGCTGCGGCTCTCGCAGCGGTGGTCGCCTGGGCCGCGTGTGCAGCCTGTCGCACGTGGGGGCTCCCCGGGCCATAGGGCCCTTCTCCATGAGCCCCGGGGCTCCAGTGCTGCTTGTGCCCGGCTGCTCTTGCTCCCACATCAGCCCTCCGTGGTTCCAGTGCAGTGCGGTGTAAGTGTGGTTGTGTTGTTGGGCAAAAGTAGCTAAAACCATGGCTTCTCCCTGCGTTTTGTGATTTAATTGTTTTTGATAAATAAAACAGGTAACCTTGCCACGTAGTCTCAGTCTAGAGCTGTGGAGTTTTAATAGTTTGATTTATGGACCCTTAAAATTCTTCTAGTGATGCAACAGAACCTGAAAATTTCACATCTGTAGTTGGCAATCACAGTTTTTATCCAACTGACAACGAAAAAGAATCAACTACATGAAAAAAAGCCATTGGAATTGTATGGATTTAAATTTTTTTCTATTTTGAGAAGACGGCTGAAACTTTCAGTAGAAGTAAGTGAGAGTTTTGTAAAAAATAGTGGATGTATCCGTTAATGGGAAAAATAGAACTAATGTGGTTACTTTATTTTCATTGGTACTAAAATGGAAAACTGCTCACAGAAATGTATTACTGTGAAAAGCATTAAAACTATAATGACCTTATCTTCCAGTTCCGGATGTTCTTCCTTTCTTCTTTAGAAGAACTAAGAGATTTCTCTGTGACTTCAGATTGCGTTTTTGGATCGATTTATTTTCCTTGTTGTTTCAAGAAGGTGCGTGGTAACTGGCAGCACTGACCTCTGTACACGAAAGGACCCCAGAAGTTCATTTCTGTCTTTTTTCTAGCACTTGCTGGTAAATCATCAATGACTGAGATGTTTTTACCACGCAGTTATGTATAAATGAGGTTGTCTTACTTCCTCTCTGCTGCCGCAGCTCAGAGAAGCTTTCTGTAATGTTTTAGATGGCAGCAGAAGACAAAAACTACATGACGTCCCCACAGTTACGAGATGTCCCAGCATCTGTGGACTGCAGGCTCAGCGACACTTCCCTCGGCAGCCTTTGCAGCCTGGATGGGCATGAGGTGTCTGTGCTGAGACTCCCTCGTCTCCCAGCTCAGCGCAGCTGTCCTGAGCCTTGCAGCCCCAGCCTGCCCAAGGAGGCCCCGCGTTGGCTGCCCTCAGCATTGGCCCGCTGGGCTGCCACCGCGCTGGGTGATCCAGAATCGGCCAAAAACAAAGGGATGCGCTAGGCACATGTCGGTTCCCCTACCATAATTTTTTAGAGTGGGAGTGACTGCACTCAGCATTTATTGCATTGGGAAAAGCTATTTGTTCATTTTGTACTGCAGGGTGTATAAAATTGCCTTGAGACTCAAGGAGGAAACTTAGCTTGAAACTGCGCATGTTATCCCCAAGGCTCTTCTGCCTCTCCCAAACTGCACCCTCCCCTTTCACACACTCATTTTATATCTGTCTTTGAACAGAGATGCTCTTCTGAAAATTGGAAGCACCATATGAGCTGCCTCTTGCAGGTGAATGTGCTAGCTAGCAGAAGGCACAAGCCAAACTATGCTTTCATCTAAAAATGACAGGTCATCAGCCTGGGAGAGTTGGTTTGGGAGTTCCAGTACTGCAATGACTCATGCAGGGCCAAACTAGGGAAACTAAAACTAGTTCTGTGCCTGGGAAGGGCCAGAGCTCCAGACTACACCAGTGTTGCTCACCAGTGCGCCCTGTGACCCTCAGAGGCCTCCTAAGTGCTGAATGGAGTATGGTTCTTTTTTGTCAACATTTTGTTTGCTTTATGTGCTGGGCATAGGGCAGGTGCAAGCTTGAATGTCCTCCACAGCTGAGGAACTCTCTCCATGAAATCCACCATGGGGCCTACAACAAAATTAAAACTCTCCATCACCACTGCTCTTCTTCCAGATATACAAGAGCCTGGGGCCTCCATTTCCATGAGGAAACAGATCCCTATGAAACTGCTGCTGTTTTGGGTTACCTGGGGGTACTGCTCTGGAAACTGTGCGGCACCCACAGGACGTCATGAAGCACCTGGCAGTTCCCCATTAGAAAACACATAGTCCTCCGTCATTACCAATGAACGAGCTTTGTGTAAAGAAGCTATAATTAACCACCATTTACTATCAGAACCCTTCTCCAATGGAGAAGGAAAATAATGGAACAGGCTGGAAAGCTGTGCAGTCTCCTTTAGGGCACAGCAAAGGCAAGCTAGATAAAATCTGCCAGAGATGGTCTAGAGACCTTTGCAGAGCAGAACATGCCAGGTGTTTTTGGGTGAAACACTTGCTGTGCTGTGTACGAGGGTTTGCAATACATTATGGTTACCCCAACCACTGGCTAAGGCGGCGGATGGGATCCTGGCCCGCATCAGGAGGAGCGTTGGCAGCAAAGGAGGGGATCCGGCCCCTCTCCTCAGCTCTGGTGAGGTCGCACCTGGAGTATTGTGGGCAGTTCTGGGCTCCCCAGTAAAAGAAGAACATTGAGCTTCTAGAGAGAGTCCAGTGTACAGCAACAAAGATGATGGACTGGAGCATCTATCGTATGAGGAAAGACTAAATGAGCTGTTTAGCCTGGAGAAGATTGAGAGGAGATTGGAACAGTATGTATAATACCTGAGAGGAGAATGTAAAGAGGATGGGGCCAAACTCTTTTCCATGGCGGCCAGTGACAGGACAAGGGATACAAGTTGAAACACAGGAAGTTCCATCTCCATGTGAGGAAGAACTACTTTACCGTGAGGGTAACAGAGCCCTGGAACAGGCTGCCCAGAGAGGCTGTGGAGTCTCCTT